AGTTGCTTCCATTTTGTTTGCAAAAGAGTAAAAAAATAACTTGACGTTAATCTGCTTGGTCAGTTTGTTAAATTGAAATGTCAAAACTAATAAACGGCAAATCCTAAGAGTCATCATATCTTTTTAAGTAACATTTTAACATAAAATATTTATTTTAATCTTGTAAGATATTATACGTATATAATATTTCTTTGTTTGAAATCTTAGTAATAGACCTACTGTGAGTTTTCGAAGCCGATTCGGTCTTTGCATACTTGAAGTTAATCATGGTCGGTCCAGTGCTATTTTAGTGACATTTATACTCATCTGATACCTATAAATACCAGAAAACATGTTGTTATACAACGGAAAAAGAGTTTTTAAAACATGGCATCGCAGTTACTGTCAGTCTATATTACTATTCCTTAACACCATGCTGTGAGAAAAAAAATCTTTTTTCTGCGGAAGGTCATGACCTAATGTGACCGTGAAATGTTCTGTTAAACATATTATATCTGCTCGGAAAATCAACAGGTTCTTAGTCAATTATTTCCAGCGTGAAAGCCGTTAGTGAAATAGTTGTCACTTCAGAAACCACATGGGGCGATGTAAGTTCTTGCCTAAGATATTTTCAAGGAGAATATGCCATTGACAATGGTATGTACTGGGCTTTTGATGTGTACTTTAATATTATGATATTATCACAGCCTATTAAAGATTACAATGAAAGATAATTTTATGCATTTTTATTACTGTGGGAATCTTATTCAACAGTTATTTTTGGATATAGGAGGTAACGCCATGCCTTCATTGAAAGAGTTCTCTATATACTGAATAAGTCCAGTTATCTCTAGACTTGAAGTTTTCTCTGCTAGGCTTACAGCAACGTTTCTGCCAGACAATGCAGACTTTGCAGCAGTTTCCCATCCTGATTTTGCTAGATTTGTACATTTTAAATATTTCAGCCTGTAAAGCGCTTCTTTAATATTTCAGACAGCAACTTATAGTAGCCTCAATAAAGACCTTTGTCCACGATGGAGACTTTTGTTCAAGGATTATTTTTAGCTTGGCGATCGTGGGGTCAGGTCGGGGTGGGGGATGTTGGTTATCCTGCATATCTTTGTGTTGATGTTGATGTCCTTCGTAGAAGAAAAAAACCTGGCTTTATTTTGGTGTGCATGATTTCATTAAAAACTGACAGAATGCGTTTTGTTGAATCTTAAATTTATGCACAATCATGTCTTTATGCTCATAATTCCAAGTCACAATCTTATATCCATAAGTCTTGTTTAAAATTTTGATTGAATTATTGCCCTTTGTGAACTTACCATACATAATTCCTGGACCTTTAGCCAGCAAGAACCAAAAGTTATAAGCCTTTGCCACCAGTATACCAGCTGTCACATTGATGCTGTCCGACCAGGCTCTATACTGTTGATTGCTCCAATTTTATATCTTGTGTATACAAAATAACTTTGGATGGACTGTTTGGGCAAATTTAGTATATAAATTCTACAGGTTAAGGGTTAATGTACAAGAGTCTTCTGTAGAACTAACTGATGGTTTTTAACATGAAATTTCATGCATTTTTTGAAGAATTATAATTATAGATAATTTCCCTAGATTCATAAATTGAGCTTTGATTATGACAAGAGTTATAGCCCCTTGTTAACAGAGAAACTTTTTGGATAAGGTTTTGTGTTCAAGATCTTCACATGACTCAAGGTATAAATACTTTTGAAACATTATACTTGTCTTTTGAATCATACTTTTAGGCAACTATTCAAGACCCATAACTCTAGCATGCATATTGACTAAGTTATAGCCCTTTATGGTCTTTAAAACATCCTGGATGCAAGATCTATCTATATATATAACCATGATGTTAATTCACTTAAAATTTTACACATGTATTCAGGATTAATATTGTACATCATTACCAAAGGCTCATATCTCTTGTTTTGAAATGAATCCTGTAATAAATTGTTGTTGTTCTTACATCATATTACAGTAAAATAAAATAGTCAACTGCAAATTCTTAAAATTCCCTTTGATATACCAATGTTTCAGCTGAATAGCCATCTTCAGGGTACATAAATAAATAATAGACAGGAAATTTTATGAACGTCACATGAAGTCAGTTAAACTACGACGTCAAAAGGTAACAAAGAGTTTGGCGTAATAAAACTCCAACATGTACAATTAATGCAGTAACAAATGAATAAGAACAAAATTAATCACAAAGCCCTGAAGTGCAGATTGCATATCCTGTGTACATAATGTTTATTTTTTTTATAAATGAAGAGAATCACTTTGGATTAAGGACATTTTTAGAAGGCTTTAGTCAATTGCAAGCTCATTTGGGTGATAAGATTTTAGATGACGTAATGAAAGTAATTCTTTGATTCACTTAATCTTTTGTCCTTAAGTGGATAATTTCATTGGCTACATCATGTGATGATACACAATAAATTTCTTAACAGGAGGAAAAGAAATACAAATTTCATTTCAAGTTGGGCATTGTCTTTAACATCCGACAATATTTGACTATAAATCGTATACATTGTATATCCTTGCCTTTCGTGACCACTTAAAGACACGCACATTATAGGCAATTGAAAAATTCTCTTCAGCATATTACAAAAAGGACATGCTTTTTCCTTAAACACTTCTGAGACCAGTGTAACATTAAGTGTAATATAATAATACATCCTGGCTGATTATCGTTATACGCCATCTTGCATACAGGAAAATAAAAACCGCTTACTCAGCAATTTTCTATTACTTCCCGTTTTTCTGACTAGTGCGTTGTTGCGCAATTATTTTTTCCTGCTTTTTCTCTCTACACGTAGTTCATTTGATGTCACACATTTGTGGAATTTTTTATTTTAGTTTTTCATTCTTTGGCAGATCGGTTTTTCGCTAAAATCAACAGATCCTGTAAACGTTTTTAAGTAGTTTACCTTACAGTAGCTGGCGTTTTTTAACTCTGCTTTGTTTATATAGTATGGCATATCGTTTGTAAAAATCAAGAACTACTTCCTGTCTTACACAGTGGTTATTTATGAATGAAAATGCGAGGGCCTTTGAAGCTTTCACTTCCCTATAATTTCTTCTCTTTTTTTTTTTTTTTTTTTTGCAAAAAAATCAAGTGAAGTGAAATGTGTGTTTAACAAATTGCATATCAATCTTGTCATGGCAAAGCTCATTTTATGCTAATTGCTCCTTTCTCTTGCAATTTTCTTTAAAAATGAGTACTAGTCTTTTCAACTAAGAATCTGAACTCTGAAATAATAATAATTTATTTAGTAGTGAATTTCACTTTCTTAATAATTAGATAAATTAAGGTCATTCCAGTGACTAACAGGTCATAAAACCATTAGTGATAGATTTTGTAACAGCCTTTGCAGCAGTGTATTATATTTTGATGTGTATACATTAATATTTCTCATGCATATGTAACCTTTGACTATCACTTATTAATACTATAAAATTGGTAAAAACTGTGTATAAAGACCACTCAGGGGAAGAAGGCCTTTGTTGACCGCCTGTTTGCACATAATTTTTTTTATGTGCAGTCTGACCAGGCCCTATACTGTTGGCTTACTTAAAATGTTGATCCTGATTTACCAAAAAAAAAAATTATAAAAAACAACCAAACTGGTTTCTGTGACTAAGGGGTAAAGTTTGTCAGACTGCAATTATTGCTAGCTGTTACAATGTCATTGACATGTGAATGCCACCATGCATTATTAAACAAGGCCAGCTTGGACCTCCATATATAGTATGAAATTTAAAAAAAACAGTTTAAAAAAGTAAAGATTTGATTTTTCAAACAATGAAAAAAAGGGGAGGGTTTTTTTTTGCACACAGAGAAAATAAGCATGGTGAAATATTCTAGTAGCTGTTCCACTCACACTTCTGCCATCCAGGTTTCTTTTCTTTTAATTAAATTGTTGACAATGGGCACCGGCACCGTTACATTTTACTGGTAATTTTTTCTCCGTTAATTGGCGGGATATGGTAGCTGGCAAGTTGAAGTTTAAAGCTAATACATTATATTGTATAATGAAGACAAATCATATTGTTGAGTGACTCAGAGATGGCGTGATGTCAAGCATATGTTGTGTCGTTAAACTGGAAACCAACCGGAACCTCTAACACCGGAAACTTAGATTGCAGATAAATTTGATATGCCTTCTTCAAATTCCAGCCGCTTTCTCTTGTATATAATTTTGAAGCTTTTTTGTCCCTGGTGGAATTAGAGGCACGCTTTTCTGAAATTCCCCCGTTGAAAAGAGATGCTGACAGTTTGTAATATATGAATACACTTTAGCCCTCCCAAAAAAAATTGTTGGAAGCCAGGAATGATGAAATTCCTTTTTGGTTTTATATATTTAAGAAATTTTGATGTAATTTAAGTTGAGATGCTCATCCTGTTTTATTTTTTAATTTACTTATTTTTCCAGGGATATACATTATTAAGATTCATTGCTCATGTTATAAAGCTAAGTTGAAACATTCCTTATATAATGATGTTATTTTGGTATTATTCTTATTTCTTCAACAAAGGCTTATTATCTTTGTCAGTAATACAAAAGTGATTTACTTCAGGGGCGTCTGTGGCCGAGTCGTGATTGACTTCAAACCACTTGCCCCTCACCGCTGTATGTTTGAATCCTGACAGGGACTCCAGATTCTTTGGACATCAAGTATAATGGTCATTTTGTCCCTCACCTCTGATTCAGAATTCATGTGGGATAAGTAGATGGTCACTTGCATAGAAATTGGTAATTACTGGTTAGTTATACAGGAGAGCCAGTAAAGTGGACTGACTATAAGATATGACCAATAATGGATGGCTTTGAAGTATGGATTCAAGGTCAAGGTCATTAAGGCTACGGATAGCTTTTTCTACTTTTTCTTTTATTAAAGCAATACTGTTTAGCATAAAAGCATATATCTATGCCATAGACATTCTTCTTTGCTCTTAAAATTGCCTACTTTTGTTGTATTTTCAGGACTCAAGTCATCAGACGCAATTTTAGAGAAGATGAAATGTCAATTGTGTGATTTTCAAGGGTATTATGAACAACAGTTTCAGGACCATATTCTGACACATAAAGAGGCGCTTAAATGCAAATGTTGCAAATACGCCTGTTTTCAAAAGGATGCAATGATTGAACATTTTAGGGTGAGAAGATTCTCTTTAAAGACTGAGAACATAAGAATTGCTCTAAGATTGTGTCATTTAAAGTGATCAAAAGTACTCCAACTGATGTTAATTTTTACTATATGAAATATATCAAATAGACTTATATGATCTATCAATCTAGACATATCCATTCATTATTTTCAGGGTTTTCATTATTAACAGATTGGCGATCCACATCATCAGTTAAATCTGTTGTATTTTCAGACTGTATATTCAAATAATACCCATGACCCTTGGCAAAATCGGTTGTTTTCTTTGGCGCATCTGTTGCCTCAGATAAAAATGAAAACCCTGATGTTTAGGGAAAATTTCTAAATATGTGTATAGACTGAATAAGTGAACAGTGCAGACCATAATCATGCGGCATAGATGTGCCAACTGATCTTGGTCTGCACTGGTCGCATGGGTAAATTCTGTAGCCGCAAGCAGGCTAACGGTTAAACTGTAAATACATTATTTTTTCATATACTGCAAAATCAATATTATTCCTGATGCACTAATTTTCATGATTTTCGTGGATAGGTCAATCATCAAATTTAAGATACAACAAACATTTTATCTGCTGTAAGATTTTTTTTGCATTACATTATTTGCATTTTATCTTTTGGAAAAAATAAACAGTCCATGAATTTAAGTACCCACGAATGTTCTTTGTGACAAAACTACGAAATTTAATGTCCAGGAATTAAGGGAATTCACAGTATATCATTAAATTTTTCACCAAAAAGAATGTATATGTATGATTAAACCATTTGGAATGCTTTGGAAATTACTGAGAAGTTCCTTTTATTTTAAAAACTCCTTTATCTCAGAAAAAAAAAATTACAAAAGTAAACATCCTGTTTTAGATGGCTTTAAAGTTTGTATATAAAAACTTAAGGAACAGAAGTCTTTGTAAGAAAAACCAGTTTTGTTTGGATTTTGTTAGATTTTGTTGTTGTTGATAACTTAGAAACGTTTACTTTTATCAGAAAAATCACCCACGATGCATCTGCAGTTTCTGTGATCACATGGCCGAGCATGCCTACATCATCAAACGTCATACGATGCGACACACCCAGGTCGGCTGTAAATGTGACGTCTGCGGTAAAGTATATAAGGTAAGTTTTGTATGCTTTTGTATTAAAAGAAGCCGTCCGGTTAGCTCCATAGGAAGAGCTTTGGACTGTGAATCGGGCGCCCTGAAGACGCATGTCACTTTCATTTGGATTGATCATGAAATTTTTTGTACGTTCATTCACACTGTACCTCTGCTCTGGCATGTACAGAAGTAATCAGTTCCTTGCAAAAGTGTAGGCAACTAGAACTGATGAACTATGTGGCAGCTTATCGTGATCGGTAGTGAAAACTTCCAACACCTACACCACTTTGTATTGAGAGGTTTAGTGGTGATAGCTTTGCTAAAAGTAAAGTTATTGGATGAACTTTTTTTCATAAATATAGTGGTGTTTTGTCAGAAATTATCTACCAGTCCCTCTGGAAGGACTTGTTCCCTGCGGTCTGGAGACCGCAGGGTATTGGTACGCGTTTAACTTTTGAGGCATGGAGGAGCACGTGACCTGTTTTCGGTACATGGAGGAGCATGTGATCTGTAAACCGTATATGATTGGTTAATTGACCTTTTCGAAAACCCAGCTAAATACCGTTTGCCGGTACGTTACGGATTTACCTGTAGGGAATTAGTCCGAATTACACCTAATTGAGAACAAAAATCTATTACGTGATATTTCTAATTTTCTATAATTATTTTTTACCGTTTAAGGTGGAAAAACTTGAATGATGTCTTTGAAAATTATCAATGTTTCTTCAATATCTAAATCTCAAATTTTACAAACAATAAATTCTTTATTTACTAAATCTACCAAAATTAAAAAAAAATTCCCGTAGTGGCGTTGCCATATAAAAATAGCAGAATTTTGTAAAATTGTGTTTTTTAATTTTTTTATTTTATTTTTTGACGTTAATTTTATTCATAAAAATAGGGCCTATTTTAATGCAGTTTTCCTTACTCCAAAAAGGAAATAATTGTTTTTATGTTTGTATGACCTTCTCCGGTCTCAACAGGAACACAATTTACAAGTTTTCCAAAGGACCTTCTTTGATATATTTGTACGGTATTAAACATGTTCCTTGTTACAAAGTCTTCCTTTCTATTCTGTTCCCCCGTATCCCCACACCTAAACATGTTTTGGAAGAATTTAGTTAAGTTTGAAAAAAATAACTTTTTTTCATAAATAAAGTGTTTTTTTTTATTCACCCAGGTCCTTGGAACTTGTATATTTTCTGGATTGCATTAAATAAAAGTAATACAGCATTTTTGTACCAAGTCCTCACTACTGTTGAAAAAAAAACTTGTTTGTGACTAAGTTTATAGGTTAAAGTCAGGATAGGAAATTCTTCAATTAAATAGTAAAGTGTTGTTACTAATAATGAATTTATATCCTCAATGTTTGATATAACAATAAGATTTTTCATTCAGGTTCTAGTGGCCCACATTTATAATCATTTACTGTATAGACTTTGGAATTTTGAACATTTTTTTATCCTTAATGTTACATGGAAAAGGTCAAGTGCACTGAAATATTCATTATGGGAGAAATATATTGGATACTATAGCATCCAATATGGGAATAAATTGGATAGTAACATTATTCTTTTAAAAAGCCAGCGAATGAATGTAAATATTTAGTATGGAATGAAGAACTCAATTTCACATGAAATTTTTGTATATCAAGCTTTTCTGATCGCATGACTTCTGTCATCATGTGTTGTACATTGTGTTCTTTAAACAACATCTCCTCCTATATACATGGTGGATTTTGATCAAACTTCATAGGAATTGTCTTTTGGAGGTCCTCTTTAAAAGCTATGAATAGTTCCAGTCTAAAGCCCAAGAAAGTTCAAGGAGCTAAAAATAGATTTTAGAAATCACTCCTCAGAAACTACAATTTCCAGAGCATAGATATTGAGCATGTTGCATCACCTTTTGGTCCTCTACAAAAGTTCAAATAGGCCCTACCTAAATATTCTTCTTGTGTGCACAACAGTGCCCAGAGCTTAGATATTTTGGCATGTAGCATTTCCTAGTTGACCTCTATTAAGCCAATGTGACCCAATTGGGCTATTTACTTTTGCTTGAAGAATTATGTTCATTTTTAATAATGGATCTGAGTTGAGCAATCTTCATCATGATGGCTCTCTTGTATATTTTCAGGACCAGTATGTGCTGAAGATGCATGTTAAAATGGTTCACATGCCAGCTGAGGTTCTGTTTGAATGTAATGTATGCAGTAAAAAGTTTACGAGAAAAGCTCATCTGAAACGCCATCTTAGAATACACGACCCTGAAAAACCGTTCAAATGTCCCCATTGTCAATACAGGTAAGATAATTATGACATTGAATAGTTTAGGCAAGATGCTACAAGTCTAGGTAAATCGATATGAGTAAAACCTAAATTTTCCAATGGTTGATATCTTTAACACTTAACATGCTAAAACTAAAAGTGATTTAACCTTTGCTACCAGTGTAGTACAGGGCCAGCCTGCATATCCATGCTGTATGACCATGTTTTATACTGTAGCTCAATTTGGGTATTTTTTACATTGAATTCCAGTAAACTTTGAATGCACTGTTCAAAATTTACAGCAGCGCAAATCCAATACTGCAAAATCATTATTATTCATAGGGCACTAATTTCTGTGGTTTTCGTAGAAAGTTCAATCCACAAATTTATGATCCAACCAAATGTCATTATGTCTGTTGTAAATTTATTTTGCATCACATTATTAACATTTTATCTTTTGGAATTTAAGAATCTATGGAAATGTTCTTTGTGACAAAACCACAGAATTTCATGCCAAGAAATTAAGTGAATTACAGTATAACATTAATTTTCAGGCAAAGGATAACATGAAATATTTATTCTATTGTTAAGAAAAATATACTGTTTTTGGTGTTAAAAATTTTCTTGCAGGGCGTCTGTGGCCATGTGATTAAGGCCGTTGACTTTAAACCACTTGCCTCTTACAGCTGTAGGTTAGAGTTGCACAAGTGTCAATTTATTATGAAATTTATTCATTATTTTATCAATAAAATTCATTGGGACTTGTATTTCATCCTTTCATATCTGCAAGCAAAGCAAAAAAAAATGTGTTTAATTGAACTACTGTTTTAGTTTAACCTTTTCCTTCAAAGAAGCGCCTCTGGATGCCTTTATCTATTACCACATCCAAGCACCTCTGGACGCTTCTAAGTATGATTGCAAAATTATTAAACATACATTTTGTATTTCATTTCTTAGAATATATATTTATTTTACAATTTGAATATGTATAAGGCATTTCAAATTTTATTAGAAATCACAATTATAATGGAAGACTTTTGCTTTATATTGCTCACTCTTGATCTTAGTCCTCATGTTTTGATCTTTTAGAGGTTGTGAGAAGTCGGACATTGTTAAGCACCTTCTTGTACACGAGGAGCCAAAACATCAGTGCAACATTTGTCAGAAATCATTTAGGCATATCAAAAATAAGGAACTCCATATGAAAAGGTAATAGTGAAATTCTAGTTTTAAAATCAACTTCAGTATAACTTTTGCAGAGCAATACGGTTTTGGGAGATAACGATTTTGGTTGTTTATGAGAGTGTATTGCTCTACAGAGGTTAAATTTATTGTGCAGAGGGCCACTTTGTAGAGATTTCACTGTAGGGACCATTTTTAAGTTTGATCCCTGCGTGGCTGACTGATTCCGGGCGTGGCTGACTGGTTAAGGTGATGATTTTGAATCATAGTCTATATATGTCCTTTCACAGGTTTGGTTAATGGATTTTATTCTTGTGAGGAAGCAGCTATCTAGCTTTCAAGTGTCAGTGATTCTACCCATAGATTGCTTGTATTTGAAATAATGAAATGCAGGACATTGAAGTCTTTCTCAATCAATGAGAGTATTGGGAAAACCAATTCAATTTTAAAACAAGAAATCCTAAGCCTTCTAGACTGCTAACAGCAACTGTCTTTGTGACCAGTGCCATCTGATCATGGTCTGCACTGTTCACTATTCAGTCAGATCATGTTTTGTAATTTTCTCTAAAGAACAATTAATTGTTCTATCGAGATTGGACAAGTCCATTCAAGATATTTATCATGGTAAGGGTTAAATAAATTCAGCATAATTAAGAGTAAAAATCATATTAATTCTACTTGACTTACTCAGTAAAACAATTTCAGTGTTTTGATTATTTGAAACTTGATTTTGTTTCTATGATGAATGGCATCTTTCGTCATATTTACAGGCATAATGGACAGCGCGATTACAAGTGCGGGGTGTGTGATTTCTACGGGTACACATTTACAGATATACGTAAACATATCGAACGTAAACACACGGACTGTAAATCTCTAATCTGTGATAAATGTGGCATGGTGTTCAGATCTGACCTTCAGTATAAGGTACGTTTTATATTGTTCTAATTATATTTTCTCATTTTATTAAAGGCTTGTGATGTCTCAGAAATGACTTTGTATATTTTTAGCTCACCTGTCACAAAGTGACAGGGTGAGCTTTTGTGATCGCTTTTCGTCTGGCGTCCGTCCGGCGTCCGTCCGTCGTCCGTCCGTAAACTTTTACTTTAAATGACATCTCCTCATAAACCACTAAGCCAATTTCATCCAAACTTCACAGGAATGTTCCTTTGGTGATCACCTTTAAAAATTGTTCAAAGAATTTAATTCCATGCAGAACTCTGGTTGCCATGGCAACCGAAAGAAAAAACTTTAAATATCTTCTTTTAAAAAACCATAAGAGCTAGAGCTTAGATATTTGGCATGAAACATCTTCTAGTGAGTGTCTACCAAGTTTGTTCAAATAAAAGCCCTGGGGTCAAAATTGGCCCCGCCCCGGGGGGTCATTGATTTTCCCTATATGCATATAGTAAAAACTTAAAAAATCTTCTTTTAAAGAACTCAAAGAGCTAGAGCTAAGATATTGAGCATCAAACATGTTCTAATAGGTGTCTACCAAGTTTGTTCAAATAAAAGCCCTGGGGTCAAAATTGGCCCCGCCCCAGGGGGTCATTGATTTTCCCTATATGCATATAGTAAAAACTTAAAAAATCTTCTTTTATAGAACCAAAAGAGTTAGAGCTAAGATATTTAGCATGAAACATGTTCTAATAAGTGTCTACCAAGTTTGTTCAAATAAAAGCCCTGGGGTCAAAATTGGCCCCGCCCTGTGGGGTCATTGATTTTCCCTATATGCATATAGTAAAAACTTAAAAAATCTTCTTTTAAAGAACTCAAAGAGCTATGGCTAAGATATTTAGCATCAAACATGTTCTAATAGGTGTCTACCAAGTTTGTTCAAATAAAAGCCCTGGGGTCAAAATTGGCACCGCCCCGGGGGTCATTGATTTTCCTTATATGTGTATAGCAAAAACTTAAAAAATCTTCTTTGAAAAAACCCAAATAGCTAGAGTTAAGATATTAAGCATGAAACATCTTTTAGTGAGTGTCTACAAAGTTTGTTCAAATAAAAGACCTGGGGTCAAAATTGGCCCCGCCCCAGGGGTCATTGATTTTCTTTATATGTGTATAGTAAAAACTTAAAAAATCTTCTTTTAAAGAACTCAAAGAGCTATGGCTAAGATATTTAGCATCAAACATGTTCTAATAGGTGTCTACCAAGTTTGTTCAAATAAAAGCCCTGGGGTCAAAATTGGCACCGCCCCGGGGGTCATTGATTTTCCTTATATGTGTATAGCAAAAACTTAAAAAATCTTCTTTGAAAAAACCCAAATAGCTAGAGTTAAGATATTAAGCATGAAACATCTTTTAGTGAGTGTCTACAAAGTTTGTTCAAATAAAAGACCTGGGGTCAAAATTGGCCCCGCCCCGGGGGTCATTGATTTTCTTTATATGTGTATAGCAAAAACTTAAAATCTTCTTTTTGAAAAAACACAAATAGCTAGAGTTTAGATATTAAGCATGAAACATCTTCTAGTAAGTGTCTACAAAGTTTGTTCAAATAAAAGCCCTGGGGTCAAAACTGGCCCGGCCCCAGGGGTGTCATTGTCTTTAACTATATGTATATAGTAAAAACTTAAAAAAAAATCTTCTTTTAAAAAGCCCAATGAGCTAGAGCTTAGATGTTTAGCATAAAACATCTTCTTATGGGTGTCTACCAAGTTCGTGCAAATAAAAGCCCTTGGGTTAAATTGGCCCTGCAACGTTGGGGGGTGGGGGGGGTTGGGGGGGCCTATATACAGGTGAGCGACCTCAGGGCCATCATGGCCCTCTTGTTTATAATGTTGTAATAATGGATTAAAAGCATGTTAGATGCATATCAGCTGGAAAGAGTTGCACTGGAAATTGTCCTAAATGAAGCAGAACGTAAACAAAGTAATATTTTGACTTCGGTGCAATATACTAAATCACTTTAACTATACTTATTGCTAAAATGCTACAGAAGAAAAACTTGTTTCGGGTATGTGGCAAATGAGTATTAATTATTTTTGAAAACTGTAAAAGGATATCAAACATAAGGAGCTGTTGAAAAATAGGAATTGTGAAATTTTGGGGGAGTTCATGGGCCTTTAAGATTAACATGTTTTCTTTGTAGTTATGCACATTTGAAATACAGTCACTTTTGTGTCACAGTGATACATTACTATGGTCATGATACATTAGAGTATGGTCTATTTGTGTCACATTAATACATAAATAAAGCATTAATAAAATATTGCCCCTGCAATGTCACAGTGCTATTGATTCATACTTTTGCAAGGAAGGAAATAATTGTCAGTATTGAAGTTAAAATGTAAGAGTTGTACCATTTTTTTATAATAAACCTGTACATTCTTTTGCCACTCATTGTAATACCAAACATTTAGCTGTTCAGCATTGAAGAAGTCAAGGTCATGTTGTGGTTTACCTCTTGTGGTAAAAGAGTGTGAGTCTGCACCAAGCAGTGGTATATCAAAGAATAGGTTGCAAAATGATATTGTTTTTCTTGATATACACCACAACAGTTCAAGTATAAATTATATAATTGATGTAAGGTTATAAATAGATTTTAAGCTCCATTTCTGGGGTTTACCCAAGTCCATAGATCAGGTTTATAACTTAATTTTGGTAGGGTCATTCAGTAAGCCCGAGTTCTTTCATTCTTATATGCCTTTCAAGTTATGTAAAAAGAGAATCTTCAAGGTCAGTTGGCCTTTGGTTTGAGAAGGTCTTTGACTGCAGGTTGTACACAAATTGAATATGTCTGCAACACCTGATTTTGAAGATTCTGTTCTGTTTAAAATGTGAATATTACATGCAGAGGAATTACCTGCAGGTGTGGATATAAGGTTTGACCATGTTGGGTGAAACAGTTGGGTTAGTACTTGTACAGAATAACAAATGATTGGTTAGGTAGTTAGCTACTACCTACTGGTAAATAAATGACATTGTGTCATTTGATGAAATTTTTTTTATATAATTACAAAATCTATTCCAAATAGAAATATACTTTTGCATAAACTAAAGTAAGCTTACATTGCAAAACTTATACAAGCTGGAATTTAATTTGCATAAAGTAAATTTAATTGTGTTTTTCGAGGACCTATTCCTGCTAAAACTTACAGATTAAATGAATTGAATTGTGCATTACAGGAACTCTTTCAAGTGCTTGAATTTATATGAACTAAAGTAGATCTTGCATTACAGGACCCATTCTTGCTGAAATTTATACATAAACTGTATTGAATCTTAAATGACAGGAACCATTTAAGCTAACTTTGAAATTGAACTAAGATTTAATCTTGCTTTACAGAAAACTGAGTCATCTCAAATCAAATTGCATGAACTGAAATCTAATCTTGTCACTATGCCATGTCATATTTGTATGAACTAAACTTAAATCTTGTTTTACAGAAACAATGTCATCTCAAATTGAATATGCATGAACTAAAATTGAATCTTGCCATACAGAAATTATGCCAGCTCATAATTGACTTGCATGAACTAAATTGAACTATTATATTACAGGAACACAAGTCACAAGCCTGTGATGTATTTATGATAGAACAAGCATTAGCTATAGCAACAAGTGATGGTGGCACAGCTCAAGCAACGATACAGATTCCCAGTAACTATACACTAGATGGTAACCAGCAATTACATGTTGGCGGTCAGAGCGTTTCCATTGATAAAGATGGTCAGATTACAGTACATTCCGTGGGGCTACCAGGTTAGATTTTTAATACCCCACCCACATCTACTTTTATATAAAAAAAAAATATACATTGTATATATTGTTGATGACATAAGCTTCCAATGAATTCATTTTCTTTGATATAAGCATCTTGAGTCTTTCCCAGTAGTTTAAGCTCTTGTTGTTGTTGTCACTAGAAAAAGTATGACAAAAAATGTCAAGTTTTTTCTAGTTGTCTCCCTTTAATTATAATGTGTCTCATTTTCAGGAGTTTGTACTGTGTGAATTATCTCCCTTAGACTATAAATGTATTTAAAATTAGAAGTGATAAAAAAAGTGGACCAAAGATGTAAAATGATCAAAGACATACTTCCTTCTTTTGCAGTAATAGTACCGCCCCCTGTAACATACATTCTGCAGACTAACTTAAGATAAAATTGAGAAAGAGAGGGAAAGAAAATGTATATGGAGAAGTGCGCAATATTGCCCGCTGAGATAAATTGTTGATAAAAGTCAACTTGCTGTTCCCTTCTCCCCCCCCCCATTTCGTTATAATTATAAGCACATGTTTATGATAAATGTAACAGTGACATAATAACTTATTGACTTACATAACACAGAGCCCTCTCTAACTCTCTCTGTAGCCTTTATGCTAGTACCGTACTTCTTCAAACAAGCATCCACCTATATACTTGAACGTTAACAAGTTGCCGAGAAGTTATTTGATTAGGTTTTTGCTTTATTATGTTTTTTGGTTTTAGTTATAGGTTTTTAGAGAAATACGATTGGTTTTAGAATTGGAACAATTATGTGATGTAACTTTGTTTCTGCTAATTTACGTCATGGGTACAAGTTTTCAGGCATTTGTCTGAAGTTCGGATTTTTGTACTGCTGAAAGCACTCTTTTTCTACATAAAACCCATTAAAAATGCTAAATTCAGGGTTTTCCAGTTTCAATTCAGAGACTTCATTGCTTATCAAGAATTGGTGCATAAGAACAAATATGGTCGCTTAACACATGTTTTCTTTATGGTCCAAATACGTATTGATGCAGTGTACTTGTGCAGTTTTGCTGGACTCTATTCTGTTGGTAGCTCGATATTGCCATTTTAATATTGAAATCCATTATACTTTAAATTTACTGTTTGAAATTCAAAGGAGAGCAATTCCATTACACCAATTAAGAAGGTTCATGGTTTTAAAAAATTTAAACAGGTGGTACATTTATGATTTTTACGGTATTTGAAAAAAGTGGGAGGAGCTTAAAAGGGACGATGCACTTGTCTTTGTACAGAATAGATGCTGGTACTGAACATAAGAGTGGGAGTCTTTGATTTAGAGAGAAAAAAAAATTGTTCTTTGTGTATATATATATAAAACATGTGGTTTTCATATATGTGATTTTTTGAATAGTTTGGCTTATATATAGGACACTGTGAGACAAGGTGCTTTCTTAACAAGCCTGCGTTTCCTGTGTTGAAACGTGCTGACTAAGCATTTTCCTGTTGCCAGCTCTTGCGTAGATTTATGTCCAGCCAAATCATTATTAGGTCTCAGTCTGGGCTCAACTTTTTTAAAAATATTTGAATTGTACTTGAAAGAATCACCAACAAATTAAAAAAAAAAAAAATTAGTACAGTTTATTTTACCCAAGTTTTTTTCATTATTTTTTTTCCCAAGTTTAAGGACAGTAGATATTGAGTAAAAGACCAATAGTTTAGTGAGTTTAGTGCAATTTAGAAGTTCAAAGCCTTTAATGTAGGAGCTTTTATAGCATCTTTTAATTGGAAACACTCTGCTAGGGACATCTACTTCAATTCAGCGCTTTTTTTTATTCATATAGGAGATACTGTTGAGCTCTAAGCACCTACATTAAACATAAGTGTATTTTGTGTTCGTTTGACAATTCTAGTATTTTGCTCTAGACAATACTGTACTGGTCACATGGTTGAAATCAGTTGCCAACAGCAGACATGTGGCATCCAAAACTTTAAACCACTTGCTCCTTACCGTTGTTTGATTCCTCCCAGGGACTTTGGATTCTATGACAGCATTTTGTAGGTCTTAAAAATAGGGCTCAAATATAAATTAATTGACGGATGAATAATTTTATGAAGTATGAAATAAACTTTTAAAAATGAACATTATGTAAACTGTATTATTGCGCAACAGTGCCGTTTAATCTAGTTTCTGTTTTCATGGGCTTGTAAATATATATTGTCAGTCTTGTATTTATTACCTGTGAAATAGAAAATGTGACTTGAACTGTAAGATAGGTACATAAATAAAACATTGTCATTCGATAGTCCTGACAAAAAACACAGATATATATATAAGTATAAATAGAAAGCTGAGAAAAGAACGTTTCATAAATAATCTTAACTTTGATTTGAATACAACCATACATTATATACCATAATCTTCGCTTCAATGTCATGGGAAAAGCAAATAATTTTAAATCACATCAATTTTTTACCATTCATTTTATGTATACTAGGCCAAATAAGTGTTTAAACATTTCCTTGGTTACGAATTTACTATTGAATTTTGCTTTTCAACCTGTAACCTCCCTTATTTTGTGTAATGAACATAAATTTGGAACTGTATGTTCGATTTTTTTGAGGTTTGAATTTCTATAAGCTTAAATTGTGCAGGCAACGGTACAGAGTCTTGTCATTTTGCACTGAGACGTACGTTTGCCGCACCAAGGTGTACGTTTGCCGCACCAAGGCGTACGTTTGCCAAACGTGTCAAGGTCATACTCCATTATTGCTATACTTGGTACCAGCATTGTTAAGGCTATGTCAATTTGAATGAGATTGATAATAATGTTTCAATGTTGTTGACCATTTATCTATCCGGACACGGTGAATTTAAAGTAGCTTGTATAATGTTTGCTTGCAGTGAATATATAGAATTTATCTCACTGAAATGAGAAATACATGTATCTTTTAAAAAATATAGGAAAAAAAGGGAGTGAAATATGAAAAAAAAAATCCTTGTGAGAAATATATAGCGTAAATCATATATTTCATTTAATGTCTTTGGAGGAATTTTTTTATTTAACCCTAACCACACTAAATATTCTAAATGGACTTGTCCATCTTTCAATCTGGACATAACCATTCATCATTTATAGGGAAAATTTACAAATATGTACTGACTGAATAACAAACAGTGCGGACCATGATCAGAGGGTAGAATTTGTTGCCACCAGCAGGTTTAGGGTTAAAGACCAAAGTATGTCAACCTTTTTACATTCATTTAGTAAATAGAGGATATATTGAATGAGTGAAAGTTCAATACTGAATTTATTAATAGAGATAAATAAATTGAGTATTGGACTTACATGAATATAATATTCTATTTATCACATATCCAAAATAAAGAGTGTAACGCTAATATTAAGCGGGTCTTTACAATTATGTTTTTTTTATACTTTTATGTTTGTGTAACGCAAATGACATCACGTCAAAATATATGCACGGTTGTACAATATCATTTTTACAGAGTTGCAAAATCGGCACGGGTATGTGACAAAGCATCAGGGTAGATGTAATGAATAGTTTAATCCTTTTGGCCTTTAAAAATGATAAATATTCAAAAAATTTAATGGATTAAAAGAATGTTTCAACATAAAAAATTTGACCATGACATACTTTCCTTTATCAGTCATAATTTTGTTGAAGGCTGTGACTAAATATAAAGTGATATTTTGCAAATTTTTACTTGAAATCTAATACCATGGAATGCTATTATTCAACAAAAAAATTTTTTTAAAAAATAAAAAAAATAAAACCTGTCGCTTTTCCTAGAAAAAGGGAACTAAGTTAATAATTATAGTTTAAGGTGCGGTGAAGGTTTAACTTGATTGTGGGTGATGTTCTTTCAGGCATGTTTATTTTTCAGTATTGCAAAATGCAATTTTCCTTGTCAGCAAAAAATTAGTTGAGGCCAAGAGTATTTAAATTCTTACCATATCACATGAGACAAATTAATATAATTAAAATCCCCTCCTTATTTATGATTTTTGTTCCTGCGAAATACTTCATTACGTTTTTTTTGTTGAACACTTCGTGAATGTAACACTTTGTCAATATTCATCAGGAAGGAACAATTATTTGTCATGTACTGCAATTATCATGCCAAGGTCACCTACTGAAGGGTCAAGGTTTTGCAGAGAACATTTAATTAATAATAATAATAATTTATATATATATGAAGTAAACTCTGCTTATTGCATTATTCAGGGAACCATCAAATTTATGTCGTAATATCCAGATATTGTAATGTCCAAGAGGCAACCAATTTGAAAACAAGTCGGGGACCACAACAACATTATCATCATCGGCGGTATATAGTCAGCATGTACCGGTACATAAGAAGGTCATAATTTAGGTCAATTTTTATGCATGTGTGATTATATTGAAATAAGGTTATTGCAGACATTGACAACTGTAAGTGATGACATCATGTGTGTGATGTCATTTTTTTATCATAAGCACCTTAATAATAAATCTTATTCTAAACATTCATGTCACATTCAATGCCTCAGTAGATGCAAAATAGCACTTTAATTTTGTGTTGTCACGTTTATACTGTTTTGATAATGTATACAATCTGTAATGCCCTGATTTATGATTGTTATGTCACACTCAGTACTTTCATGTCACAGTCAACATGTTGTGACATTGTATTATTGTGATGTCACATTTAATATTACAGTGTCACATTTAACTTAATGACATTGTATAATTGTGATGTCACATTTAGTGCTTCAGTACCACATTCAGCATGTGAAGACATATATTTTTCATGATGTTTCATTTAGTCCATATTAAATGTTATTCGCTAACGTTGACATCATAATGTTTTACAAGGGTCAACTAAAAACAACCTCAAAGAGTTCAGTTAATTGTGTTTTCTAAAAAAATTTAACTTGAAGAACAAATTATATATTTGAACAAGTAGTCTAGAATTGTTAGAAGCTGTGGTCAGGTCATTATCATAAATTTGACCTTGATTGGATAGCCTAC